AATTATTTACCTCATTGGTTATTATTGCAACGTCATCGTTTCCATTGTCACCATTTTGAAAATCTTGAAACATATTCAACAAAATATGACCCAAAAACACTTTGAATTTTTACAATAGTTTTAGCCAATTTTAGCTAGAATTATACCTCGTCATTTTCTTTAGCTCCTTTGTTTATGTCAACTGATTCAGTACAAAAGTCATGCATAAAAAATAGACATTCATTTAAAAATAAGAATGGTTTGACACAACCACTTCCTACTAAATTTGACCATGTTCAACCAAGGTTGATCATGTTTGACTGACCATATTCTACCAAAGGGTGACCATGTTCGACCAAGGTTGATCATGTTCCACCAAGGTTGAATATAGTGCTTTGCTTTATCCAAACGAGTACCCTTTTCTTTGTCTTCTCATTCATTTTCACGCATTTGGAACACACAAATTCTTCATTAAAGGCCTAGACGAAAAAAAATATTAAACAAAAGAATAAATATATCATTATTATTGTGCATGCATAACACAAATAAAGAGGTTAATACCTCAACCTTCTCAAGCACTTCCACATCCTTCTGATCTTTCTCAACTTTATTTCTGAAATACTAAAAAGTGATTAAATAAAAAAGTAAACACAATATTATTTGCAACAACTTTTTAGTAAATATATAAAATATCTTAGTTAAATAAAAAAAAGTTCACTTGACTATTGCAGACCCCACTTTTCCTAGCCTCTCAGAAAAATATTCTTTAAAAGAATTACACTCTCATTTGACAGAGTCAACTCATTTTCTCAGAATTTGCTTCAAGATCTTGAATTTTTTTGTATATATATACCTCTCAAATAGCGAATCCATCAAAGCTTTGTCTAGGGAAGGAGGTTGTGTTGGAGGAGGAGTATCAGTGATTCATCCTCCTTACCATTTCGTGATAAATTCACTTTCTCTTTTTTAATAGAACATATTCTTTCTTTGGCTTCTATGATCTTTTCCTTGAGAGAAAAATATGAACAAAGTTCTTCTCTAGTCGCAGAGCATAGAAATCAATCTCAATGCTATGGTAGTTCTCCTCTATTGGCTTTAATAACATGATCCATTCCGTCTGAGCCTCTAAAGAATCGGGAAAAAGAATACTCTGCACACTTTGGAGTTAAAGAATTATGTAAATTAGAATATGTTTTACTACGATCGGATTTGATCATGGTTGACAAAGTTTGACCACAGTTGATCACTCCAAACGATGTATTATTAGTTTACGTGCAAATTAATTACAACCCTACGCTTTAAAAATCATTTTACATGTAAAATTTTAATGTGTGAACTATCAAACGGGCCCTAACATTTATAAAATATTACAAAGTATTTGTCATTCTTTACTACGGAGTATTTAGATTCTTTACAATCTGGACTGTACTTTATAACTGTCCTCCAAAGAAGTTTCCACTTGAAGGATTAGAAACCTAGGGTTACTCAAGTGTATCATAGAACGGGGCACTACTTGAAGGATAGATGAGTTTTGAAGGGCAGACGCCGAAGCTAATTAGGCCGCATGATTTTGAAAGTGTTGGATTCTAGCCAGCTAACATTCGCCATGACCTAGTGAGGGATAATTGCTTTGATATGTGGACCTAGGCCTGTCCCATGCCATTTTTTTGTGATTATGTATTTGAGTCTGATCAATTTAGCCCATTTTTTCTTTAGTTTAGCCACATTTACTGATATTTTTGTACACCTTGTTAATGTTATATTTGGATGCAGGGATGGACCAGGCCTGATCCGGTTCTGGGTTGGGCCCAGGTGGGCTTGGAATTTTTTGTAGGGGTGGGCATAAAAAACCGTAACCGGCATACCGCACCAAAAAACCGAAAAACTGGCATTTTGTTTGGTTAACCGAACCATAATCCAAAAAACACACGGTACGGTTAACCTACCAAAAGGAAAAGTGGTTCACGGTATGGTTACGGTTTTAAAATTATCCCAAGGTCGGTTAACCGATAACCGGAAGTTCAAATGTTGTACTCGGTTTCATTTGTATCTGCCATAAAAAATATTACTGCAATACATTACGTATGAGTGTACAACATATGGTTGTCTCATCTGACGGCAACCATGCTGCGATATCAAAGCCCGGGGAGAACTGGGATAATTAAAGAACAAAAGCAATCTATTTTAATTAAGCAAATACGTAATAAAATAATACTACGTGGGTCGTGGACTGCATAATAATTTCTTCTAATTAATTTGTGAAGAAAAAATGTTGCTGTGAATTTTAAATATATAAACATATTGGTTCGTTCCTACATAACACGCTTAATTCATATCCTCAGCACCAGCTAGCATTTACGTATACATTGATCGTTCTTACATTTTATTTTTTTGGCAGCTTAATTCATTTTTGTATTTATGTTGTGGTTATTTGGTTAACCGATTAGTGGTTAACCGGAATTTCGATTAATTGATACCCGGTTGACCGATGTTATGGTACGGATAATAGTATTGAAAATATAGTAACCAAACTCTCGATTAACCAAAAGTTGGTTAACCAAAAGACGGTTAACCACCCGTACCCACCCCTAATTTTTTGGGTAAGGCCCGGGACAGGCCCGAGAGTCTACCAGTACCAGGTCAGTTCTTTTAATTCTTCTTTTATAGGTTTTCTACTTTTCTTATTTATTCTGACCCCACCCCCCCAAACCCCGCCAAAACACCCAACCCAGCCCACCTACCATAGGCCCAAACCCAAAAAAAACCAAAATAAAAAGAAAAAGGCACGGACCGGATCCGGACTGGCCGAGCAAGTTCCTATTTCCCCAGCCCTGGAACCGCCCCTTAAATCCCCCCGGGCCGGTCCTAGGCCCGGAACTGGTCCCAACCAACTGGGCCAGTCCCGCACAGTGGCGGTCCTGTCGATCCGGTTCCCGCCTTCCCGGGCCGGTCAAACCAGAACCGGGCAACCACTATTTGGATGTACTAGTATATAATAATACTATACATTTCATCCCAAAAATTATTTCCACTTTAACTTGCACACATTTTTATGTAAGGTAAAATATTATTTGACTTTCTAAATACGTAATATAATATTATATCATACTCCGTATCAAATAAAAAGTTGACAAAAATAAGGGTAAGTGCGGCATTTTATCAAAAATTGAAGATTTTGGTTCGAGACATCGAAAAGAGGATGGTGGTTATTGGTGGGAACTTGTTTTAAGCACAAAACCACGGAAGTAGTATATAAATTATTAATTAAAAGCATCATTTGATTGACACAAAAGTATTTTGTTTTCATCAATTTTTTTCGTATACTATAATTTTAAGCTTTTAATGTTTTCATTCTTTAGGGATCACATTCTTCATTCGTTTTGCCATGGTCACCGAAAAAGTGAGAGCTGGCCCAGACGGTACAAAGCTGGAGCATCAAAATATGAAAACAAGTTTAGCGAAAGAACTATTAACATGTTTATTCTTATTTGAGCACCAAATCGAACAAGAATAATAGTGATGCTATTTACATAACTAGGGCTTAAAAAGAACAACTAATGTGCTCATTATCCACTACATTGTGTAGGACAGCCCTTTAGACCTAAAAGATTTGGGGTCGGGCATCACAGGGTCTGCAGGAAACAAACTAAAAGATAAAACACACCATTGATCTATACTTTCTTTTCCGATCTCATTTACTAGCACATTTCTAAAAGAATATACCTTAAAACATAATTGTGTACCATGTGACATCTAAGTTTGCCTATTATTGTGATGTGGTTGAATACTCAAATAGCAGACGCTTGTGTGGAGCAGATTGTAGGAGTAGACGCAGACGGTTTGTGAGTTGGTAGATCAAAGTCCACTGCATTGCCATTTCTGAATCCTTCATCCGTCTAACCACAGATGCCTGCATCAAACCATTCAGAAAAGAAGAAAGGATTAGTAAATGATAGGTGATGACAACAAGATGTTCATTGCATATTGACAAAATATGTGTTAAGTCTTTACACAGTTTTCGGATTTCATACCACTACCATTCTTTAGAAAGTTGTGGCTGAAATTTGCCAGTCTTTTGCATTGATTTAGTGTTGACTAGTTCCAGACTACTAATTCATACCACATGACTTAAGGCGATGGTGAATAAAATGCTTTATGCAAATAACTTTCTGACTAAATGAAAGTGAATTTCAGACTTTCAGTAGGAATGTTGTTGGAGAATTGGGTATTGTAGAGCCTGAAATGTTTACATTACCCATCAGAGTGAAAACTAGGCTGCAATTTAATTTTGCATTTTTGTGCATGTGTACTTAATACATATGAAGGGGAGCCTTGGCACACCGGTTACGGTGTTGCTATGTGACCGAGAGGTCACGGTTAAATACATAACATGGGTTTAAGTAAGGGAAAGAAGGAAAATGCCAAAGATAAAATGATAAATATGAAGCAAACGAAAGAAAACATTTGGAGTGGACAGGATTTAAAAATCATGAACCTGAAGGCGCTTCCCCAGTTGTACTTCAACCTCAGTACCAAAAGAAATATTGTTGGCTAAAGATTTTAGAGGATCAACAGTGGGATCGACAGACAGCAAGCTCGGAATCTGAGGCGCATAAACAAGCCTCCATCTAGCCTGTCCAAATTCACCCTTCCCTTCAATCCTAGGCATCAATGTCTCCAGCGTTGCAGTAGCAAGCTTCTTCAAAGCGAGCTGGCCATCACCTTCTAAGATGGATTCAGCTAATTGGCTTTCAAATACTCTTGCAGCCTGTTCAAATCATAATCACTTACGAGTTATGACTGGGTTGTAGATGTAGGAAGGTGCAATTGTATGTGAGATTAACCAATTCCCATTTACAAAACTACTCAGCATAGAATATGGAGCACAGTAAAAAACTGCATCACACGGAAATCATACAACTCATACAGGAAGAAAATTTACATTACTAGTACAAAACACACTGAATATTTTCTCAAATGAAACCCTTCTGTTTGCATAATGAAAACTCGAGAACCCAATTGCTTGTTCACAAGGTATCATTAACAGGGGCATATATAGGGGACAAAACCAGGCCGGGCCTACCACAAATATGGTAAAACAGTATAATCATACGTAAATTTTTGTGCAAAAACTATATGAAGGATTATTTTCCCGGCGCACCCCAAATTCGTAATTTCTAGGGTTTTTCTGCACCACTTATCATTATCTAATGATTTTTTTTAGACCTCTTGCAATAACAAACTTTCCATCATTTGCAATGGAGCCAAATGCTCACTATGTTTTGGCTTGGGAATAGGATGGAATAAATCAAATTGGCTCACTAAACTGTCTGCGCTTCTTTGTTATGAAGCACCAATCAGTCCAAGCAATTTTCGCCGCGATTTTCACTATGGGTCATCCGGAAACAGTCTCTTTGTGCTTTAGTACAAGGGTAAGACTGCGTACATCCGTCCCCCCTTACCCCACCGCAGGTGGGAGCCTTTGTGGCACTGGGGTTATGATAATGATGATGATCTCTTGCAATAACAAACAGCAGTTCAAATTTTAAAAAGCTTCTAATAACTTTGTTCTGAAAGTTTCCTTTGGCTGAATTTCATCAAGAGTAAGTTATTACTTAAGATTACCTTCATGCAAGATTTCAAATAAAAGAGCAAAACAAAGCCTCATAAAAAGTACTTCATACCTCATAAGGTGACAGGACATCTTGTTCCACAGAGCGCGTTGATGTGACAACTATTTTGTCCTGCCATTTGCTAGCCCTACTTTGGATCCTGAATTGCCACGCTGAACCAACCAAAGCTAAGTCCAGCATTGGATCAAGTCCATTATCAGGCTCAAACTTTGCTATATTCAGATGATCACGCTTAAGCCTCACCTAAGTTAAAAAGTTGTGAATAGAAAAAGATCAAATGGCATACTAAGCAGTAAGCATTAAACATTCTATAGTTTTATAGACAAGCTTGAAGAAAGAAATATATTAAGATTGCTATTTATTTATTTATTTATTTATTTATTTATTTATTTATTTATTTATTTATTTATTTATTTATTTATTTATTTATTTATTTATTTATTTATTTATTTATTTATTTATTTATTTATTTATTTATTTATTTATTTATTTATTTATTTATTTATTTATTTATTTATTTATTTATTTATTTATTTATTTATTTATTTATTTATTTATTTATTTATTTATTTATTTATTTATTTATTTATTTATTTATTTATTTATTTATTTATTTATTTATTTATTTATTTATTTATTTATTTATTTATTTATTTATTTATTTATTTATTTATTTATTTATTTATTTATTTATTTATTTATTTATTTATTTATTTATATAACATTTACACCTTAATACCACCAACCATATGAACCATCACAAAGAATGGCAATGCTTATTGTTGACTTATAGTTTTGATTGGAAAACTAGTGCAAATATTATGTAGTGAATGTTCAAAGATAGGTTAAAACAAGATAAACTTCGTAGAAATTTCGAGGAGTAATCTTGAATCATGTATATTTGTTTGAATAAAAAGACTTCTACTGACTTAAAACCCTCGACTTACAACTTTCTAAAGACTAACATGTTGAGCTTACATGGATCGCTATGCTAATCGTCTTGCAGTCATTCAATCAGCTATTACATCTCGCACAACACAATTGTTGCACTTCTACATTTCTGTTTGAAGGGTGTCTTTTTATTAGAATTATAGGATATCAATATAGATTGTGGAAATCCTAGCAGTAGTGGGCTTAGCCCATTTGTATATCTTGTATAGGAAACCCTAGTACTCTAAATATAGCTATAAATATAGCTTCTTGTATAGCATTTTGATATCAAGTATATGAAATAAAACAATACTTGTTCACATAGATGTTCCAGAGCAGTGATGTGTTTTTCTTATTCGAGAGATGTTAATACAAAAAGTTTGGTGAAATTAAAATCAAGTAATGATAAGTACAACTTCAAGCTGAGTATGCATATGTTGCCAGAACTCACACAAGTTCAATAGTACCAGTCAAAGTATAAGTGAAGTTCAAATAAAAAAGTTTAAGTTATGGCGAAGTTCAAGTTCAACCCAAGTTTCTAATTTGAAGTTTAACTTTTTCCGATGTTCAATATGACATGTACAGCTATTGTATCAAGCTTAGAGCATAAAAATCTCCTTCTTGAGGAATGAGGAGTGATAGGAACCCTAGGCCCCCAAGGTCAGGCGCATTAAACATACAGTGTAAGAAAAGTAAAAAGTTGAAAGTCAACAAATTATTATATCAATAAAAAAATTGGTTCTTAAAAAGAGGTTGAACACTTGTATAGAAAAAGAATAAACTATAGCAAAAGAGATTGCTAGTACTTTCACGCCTTCACATATAATTAATAAACCAATAGAAGTAGCAGCAGAACAAACTGCAAAAAATTTCATGAAATGGATAGCAAAAACCAACACTAAAGAACAAGGAAAAATGTAAGCTCCAAGATAACCCATAGAAATCAAAAGTATCAACAATAACAAAAACACAAACAATATTTACCTGAGTAGCGACAAGATTCACATTACCGTTCTCAAAGGTCAGAATTCCTCTGGGTTTTATCCATTTTGGATGAGCAACACCATTTAACTCAAGCTCTCCGCTGACAGCAAAATTGAGAATTAAAGGATAGACTATCCTCAGTTCAGGTCCCAAAACAAGCTTCAAATCACAAAGGCGGACATCAAGTTTAGGGTTGTTGTCTATTTTCACCATGCTGTTATCATCTTCAAGATGTTTACCTGTGAGTAATTATAAAAAGTTTTAACAATTGAACATGAGTCACACCAAACAATGAATATCCTCCTAAAGCATCCATATGAACATTTGGTGTTGAGTTTGAAACACAATATATGTGATATCTGTAATAGGCACAGAACATCTGTCAACACATTAAAATGTCAGAGTTGGAGTAATGCTGACATGCTGTACGAAGAGAAGAAATGGAGAAAAGAAGCACTTGCAGCAGCCTTGAAAAAGAATTGGATAACATATATCTGAAATAAACAAGCTTATCCTAAGCTGGTTTAAGTCATAACACACTTAAAGATGGTAATATTTACATTGGCCATCTTGCACCGACATGTACTTCTGATCACAAAGCAGAAGCATGCAGAAAAGCAAATTAGATGGAATGCTTGGTCATCCTCATCTTCACCCGGTCACTCCCCCCCCCATTCACCCATCCAAACAAGTTGTTAGGCCTCCCCTATTTGAACTTTTAAAATAAATGCATAAAAAGAAAGGTCAGATGCTTCATTACCCGATGATTGATGAAGCTGGAGGTTGGACGCAGCCGGCTTTAGATTAAAAAAACGTGAAACATACTTTGACACAACTAAACGATTGTAAGCATCATCAGGAAGCCTTGTATGATACGATGTGCCTCTATTAAGAGCAGTTCCACTGCCCTTGTCATGTGGTAGGTATGCTTCACCTTGACTTAGTTTTATCTTTCCAGAAATGTTAGGTTGCAATATGGACCCCCTTATTTGCATTTGAGTGTCAACCTGACCACTGAATGTTGGGAACCATCAGCTTTGAAGAAAAGGATATTGTGAACGGGGGACAACAATCAACTAACGAATGCAAAGTCAACATAAAAATGTGAAAATGATCTCAAAATATATGCATAGCCTGGACCACATCAACCACTACCATTAAACCCAGAGAATTAGGTTAAGAAGAGACGTCTACCGAAGATACAAACCATAGACAACTTCAGATTATATGATGAACACACATTAGAATACCTTAAGATATTTTTGGCTCGTACTTCCAAGCCTTCACATTTTAGGTTGATTTTATCATCAGCTGCTATTTCACCTGTTCTGAGAGGCAAATTACCCTTCAATGACAGTTTCCCTTTTCTGCTTACCCTGCCCTCCAAAGAACTGATGTGCAGTCTATTTGATTTCAAAAGAACAGAACCACCAAGGTTGGTAAGTGGTTTTCGAAGCACAGGTGAAGATATAGTTGCCCTGTGGAATGATGCAGATCCATCAAGTACTGGCTGTTCAACTGTTCCACTAACCTATGAAATTAAACAATACTCATAAAACCAGGATAGTTTTGGGACCTGAGAGTAGATATCAAGCCATTCATGAAGGTTACTATTAACTGTGCACAATCTCACAACAACAATTTGACTTACCTGGAGCATAACTTCAGCACTGCCTTGTAGCCAGTTGGCGTAAGGAGACAGAGCAGTTAACAACATCATGCCAGCATCTTTAATATCAGCGTCTATTCTTACTTCTCCTGTATCTAGTACATTCCAGTTCAAACCCTTGAGGTTTTCTGTCATCTGAATATCCCAACCCTCCCCACCTCTCTCTCTAGACCCCCTTCTATCAATACCTTCACCTGTAATGCCTATACTCTTATCTGTACCCCAATATCGTTTCGATATCACTTCATTTTTTACAGTTCCTGAATTTTCTTCTTCTAAAACATTGTTTTGGACAAAGGTTACAGGAATACTTCCTTGAATGTGAACATGGCCATTTTGTATGGTTGGTGCAAGTTTAGCATAGAACAGGAAACGACATGCAGGAGTTAAGGAAGCAACAATTTCAGCTCGCCCAAGATCAACTCCACCAATGGCACCATCAAGAAGCCTTACTTGTATATCACATTCTGGTTTAGCAAGACTTCCTCTAAGATCCCCTTCCATATGCAGTGTACCCTTTATTGGTGCTAAAAACTGCCGCAGAGAATGAACAGCTTCAGTGGCTGTAGTTTCAATGACCTGAACCAATGTAGGAATCAAACTAACAGGAAAGTTCAGAACAGCAAAATGCATATTGGTCTTTGGCCCAAGCAAGGTCCCATCAGCATGTATTGTGGCATTATCCCTCTGGATAAGGATTCTCTCTAGCCGCAAACCATCTTCATTGCTGTATGCACCAGCTGCTAGAACACGCTGTGTCTTATAAGTTCCCCACTCCCATTCTTCCCCATGAAAGTCAAACTCTGCCTGTAATGTCACCAAATAAGTAGAGATTATGCTAAGAGTATATATTGAGTTAATGGCCAAACATTAAACATTAAGAAGTCTAGTTATTGGCAGTCCTTTCCTTAAGTGTTTTAGATTCCTTAACTCGTCAAGAAAAGCCTAGCAAATATTCATTTAAAATTTTTAATATGAGATAGAAGTGAAAAGCACTGAACTCAGAACCTAAATCAGTCTTTAATACAAGCAATACAGAGATGAGGCTAAAAAATTGAAGCTAGACACTCCTTTTCCTAGAAAATGAGATGGCATCCATTTTTGAAGGATACCAAAGCTGTCCAAAGAGAAAAAACATGCTCTCTTTTTACCCTAAAATATCAGAAATTACCCTAAATAGGAGTAATTACTCCCATGATTGGAAAATACCGCCATATTAATGTCTAGAAATGCCAAAATATAGCAGTATGGTTTCGGGATGACAGTAACTTACTCATGTTTTGGGAAAATTATATAGTACTCCTATTTTCAAATTTACACTGTTCTTACTCCTACTTCGGGAAGTTTCCATTTGAATAATCAATATAAACTTTTGGCAGATGATAAACGGAAAGCACTTGTCAAAAAAAATCATGAATGTCAATAAATAAACTATAGGCATGTAGTTTAGCTTGATTAACAAAAATATCCATATTGTTACATATTTTTAAATACTAATAAAGCTAAAATATCAAATCATCATTGGGATTCTCAAAGATCATTAGAAAGATCTTATTGATTGAGCGTACTAATGTGTCTCCGTTGCCTCCTCCACTTGCATCTAAAGAACCACACCAGCGACCTTTGAGTTCAGCCAATCCTGGAAGGCTGAAGTCTTCAAGGACAACTTCATCTGAGGGGGTAAAAAGAACATGAATTTCCTGATATGCAAATTATAAAAAATGTCAGGTAACAACGTACTAACAAAAAAAAAATCTTTAGTACCAAAATGCATTGTATATTTTCAACAGCTCACGTGCATAGAAGATAAGATTTTCATGTACAGTGGATAATAAAATTTTATTCAGAAGGAAGTACCTCCAGCAGACTTTGCAGGCTTTCTGCATATTGTCCCACTGATTGCAAACTTCGGATAAAAAGGTCCTGCATATTATAAATGAAATGCATGAATAAGCAAGCTACACAAAGTTAATGCACTGCTCTAAAGCGGAGTTTTTCTTTCCTTTATTAATTTATAATTCATTTATTATAAAAGTGTTATGTCAAACAATTCTAGATCCAAGCATCTTAAGCTCCAACGGACACTTTTTTATTTCCTTTATTATTTGTCAAACAGGAAGTCATTCATATTCAACTTAACTAGACACATATCATCCAGGCATACATTGCGCTCAGCCCACTAGGGCTATACAGTCACGTTCATTCAATTCAGTTCACAACTAAGGCCGTTGCGATTTTCATTCATTGCGCCCACCAGTGATATGAAATTATGAATCACCAAACTTTTTAACAAACCTTCACATCGGACATTTTAGGTCATTGTTCCCGCCAAACCCTACAGCAACACCAGCATCAGGCTTCTGTACCTTATAATGTCTCCGGATATATGACGTCATTAACTAGTGATGTAAACAGCTTGGAGGCTTTGTACGCTTTCCCTATCGTTGTTGGCCGCGTATGTGAAGAACTGGAAAGTAGAAACGTGTGTGTGTGTTAAAGAAGAAGTGTATCATCCCATGCACCGTGCAATAGGACAAAGACAGATTGGGAATAACAAAAGTAGAGTTTTAAGGAGTATCTTTATTAATGAGAACAAACGATAGATGAGCAACACACTCACTATTACACAAGAAGTAGCAAACAAGTAGACTAAATAATAAAGTAATAAACTGAAAGTCTACAACAACAACAACCAAGCCTTAATCGCAAAAGATTTTGGGGTCGGCTAACATGAATCGATACATGAAGAAAAAAAGATTTGCAAAGAAACTAAGAATAGAAGTCTAATTAAAAAATTCCACAAACAGTCTTGTGTTTCTGTGAGCACACAAAATGTTAGAGCAAGATGTATGGTGTATTCGTAATGATGCACATGTCCATGATGTGTGGTTATCAATGAAGTCGATCATTAACAAAGTGGCTAAAGAGATACTCGGAGAATTTAAAGGATGTCTGCCACCGAAAAAAGGACAAATCTTGGTGGAATGATGAGATGAAACAAGCAATAAGGTCCAAAAGGGAATGCTACAAAAAGTTGAGCAAAAGTTGGAGCGATGTCAACATAGGGGAGTACAAGGAGGCTAAAAGAAAAGCAAAGAAAGCCGTAAAGGATGCAAGAGGGAAAGTGAACAAGGAATTGTATGTAAAATTGGACTCCAAGTAGGATGAAAAAGATAATTAAAGACTTGCTCGCCTTCGTGATCGTAGAACTCAATATATCGTAAAAGTTAATTGTGTGAAGGATGTCGATCAAAGGGTACTAATGGAAGATGAGGAAATAAAAGAGAGGTGGAGGTCATACTTTGATACATTGTTCAACGAGAATACAGTGCAAGGCATGGTTGTTGATAGCGCGGAATGGCGCGTGCGCCATGCGCCATGTGGCGCGCAAATCCCCCTCGCACCATGAAAAGTGGCTGTGGCGTTACCTATACAAGTGGTAACGCCATTTGGGCACCATCAACATGGTGTTGGGCCATCTTATTTAACAAAAGAGAAGTGCAGGCTCACGAGTCCAAGGAAAGTACAAAGAGAATTCCAACGAGTGTAGACAAAAATTGTCTGAAGCATCTGGAATCCATGGGAAACGTTCATAAATTTTAAGCAATTCAATTCTTCCCGGAGACAAGTGTAAGGCGACCTCCATAAGGCATCAACTTCAAGTCACGACTCGCCAGGCGACGGGCTACTCAACGTTCAAAAGTTGACGTTGACCCATATCGTGTGTTGTTCGCTTCCGAAGCAGGCACGTTAAATAACTTAGGTTTTTTATTCTATTTTATTGATTACTTAAAGTAAACTAATAAAATAGCGTAACTTATTATTAATACAATTTACGATTACTTGAAGCATCTGATACGCATTATAATACAATTTAATTTTATTATTAATTCAAAATAAAGTTACCTTTGAATATTCTGTTTACTATAGATATAAACAATTTATTACATACTATATATGCTTAACACATTAGTTGTTTACTTATATTATAAATAAGTAATAAAGTACCTAAAATATTTGGTATTATGTATGAATTATATTTAATTTTCTACTTATATAATTCTAATTTCTAATTTCTAATTTTGTTGGAATACACACACACAGGATCTTACGATCCGAGTTACGATCGACCTATTTACTATCCTTAATTCGACTTTTGATCCTACGTAGGATCTCGACTTTTGATACTACCATGGAGAGAACCTATTTACTTTGTGATTTTTAGTCTCTTGGGCCTGGTAAATACTTCATAATTTGTGAGGCCATAACATTAATAAAACTCTAATAAAAAATTAATATATAAGCCATTATACTAACAACAACCCTAACCAAAAGTAAATAAAGATACAAAGTAATAACATGTGAAGTTCAAGATGCAATGAATGGATTGATGAGGCTGCTGAGCAAAATGAAATGGAAAACTAAAATGTAGTGGAAGAAGTTGGTGTTAATGAAGCAACTCACAACACAAGAGCATCAACTCTTCAGCTGCATGACAAGGAGGAGATGAAGGAGACAGAGGGGTGGGAGGAGGCGGAGGAGGTTGAAGACCCTCTTGAGAATGAAATGAATGAGGATGGTGTTCCATTGCTATCAGATTCAAATCAAGATGATGAGGAGTGTGATAATTGATGATGATTATGGCATAATCATCAAACAAAAACAAGCTAACATATTTTGAAAGACATGAAACTTATTTTTGAATATTATGTTTTTTGGAACTACTTTAAAGTTTAAAATATTTCAACTTCACATGTTTTTGTTAAAATGTTGTTATTCAACTTGTTTTATCATGTTTTGGTGGTTGGGTGATACAATTATATTGTCTATAATTCACTTTTTTAGTTTTTTTTGTCACGCGGCGACACCATATTTGCGCTTATCCCCATTGCAAGGAAAAATGCATCTGCGCCATTGATGTCGCCATGCACCAGGACTAATTGACAACTATGGCGCAAGGCATTGATGATCTTACTATACTAGATTGTATCACGACTTTGTGAGAAGGATCCAAATGACATAAGTTAAAGAGACTCTGAGAATGATGAGGTGGAAGAAAGCAATGGGTCTAGATGACATATCGATCGAGGCCTGGAGAAGTTTGGGAGAGAAAGGCATCGAGTGGCTGACACATTTCTTCAATATGATTTGGAGAAACAACAAATGCCAGTGAATTGGCAGAAGAGTACTCTCATTCCTCTATTTAAAAATAAGAGTGATGTACAAGAAAGTACCAACTATCGAAAGATTAACCTTTTAAGTCACTACATGAAGCTCCCAAGAGTTTCAGACTGAGCCGAAGTAAGATTGAGTATAGAGAGTGTAAGTCTGGTGGAGGTAGAAGTAGTGGTTACAGCGGGATTACTTTTGATGACAACTGACAAGGAGATACCAGTAGTGATATGTTCTGCTACTTGGGCTCCATAATGCATAAGATTGATGAATTAGATAGACTTGTATCCCTTAGAATCAGAGCACAGTGGATGAAATGGATGAAACGGAAGAGTGCATCAGGATTTCTATGTGATCAAGGTATGCTGACTAGCCTGCAGGGTAAATTTTATTAGAGAGCAATTAGGCTTGCATTAATGTATGGCGTGGAGTGTTAGGCGGTTAAACAAAGTCACATTCAAAAGATGAGTGAGGCAGAGATGCACATTTTACGTTGGAGGTGTGGACAGACCAAAAACGACCGCTTGAGAAATGAAATCATTAGACAAAAGGTGAGAGTAACACCTATAAAAGATAAGATAAGATGCAAGAGTCTCAATTGTGTTGGTTTGGTCACGTGCACACAATCCGAAGTTATCAGGACACGCGATGCAATTTCTACGGTGCCTATCTGTGTTTACTTTCACGTTTCTTTAGACCACCACTTGAAAAATAGTCTGGCAACTTAACAAGGAACGCTAGAAACAAAGTCTTTCCTTCCCCTCACCTTATTTTAGGGTTATGTTTTCTACTTCGTGTACCTGCAGCTACCTTTCATTTTTCTTATAGGGATCTGTGTAGGTATGGAGTGTTCAGGCATTTTAGTTTTCTACTCTATCAATTGGTCTTAGTGGTCATTCTATTTTCCACCTTCTCTGTCAAATATGTACATATATCATAAAATATATACATAGCAATTAGCGAGAATGGTCCATGTTTAGAATTACAATGGGCCTTATTGTGGGCAATAGCGACACTATAGTTTTCCATCCAGGGTTCATATATATTCAACACGCCCCAAACACTTTACTGTTTCTCTTCCACTGTCAAATAAAATCTAATATCAAGGAAAATATGCATAGCAATTAGCAAGAATGATCCACATCATTATCAAGAATTATGATAGGCCTTATGTATGATATAGTGACACTAGAGTTTTTTTTAACTAGGATTAAATGTATTCGCCCCCCAACACTTGACTAAGAAACTTGAAAGGATAATAAATCCCCAATTCATAAGATGCATTTGTATAAGATAAAAATGCCAAAGAAGGGGTTTGGATATTAGGACACTCTGACGGTAAAAGTGCCAAGGGACATAGCCGAATAGATCCTTAAAATATAGGACAAAACTAAGAAACTTAATGTGAAAATAGCTTCTACTCGCTACACTTTATCAAATTATACAAAACAAACAACAAAAAAGGAGCCACTTTGGGGTGGGGGGCATGAGACAATCATGCATGTGCTGCTAAATGGGGCACATTTTCGCGGCAATACCGTGGTCAGTACAGTTCAAGTAATACATAGGCAAAAGCTGATATTATGCTTCAAGAAGAGACACACTAACCTTTGATCGAGATTGAACAGCAGGGTCTGAACTTCGAGAGAGAAGGCGTGCCAGTGGAAGCATCTCTGAAATCTCAGCTTTTGGAACCTCTAGTCTCATTCGCCATCTTCCCATGGAAGATATTACACTACCTAGATGGCCCGTCATTGCCCTATGAAATAAACTACCTCCATCCTTTCCAGATGAGCTTCGGTCTCGGGATCCAGGCAATACGTATTCACCCTGAAGCTCATACTTGCTGTTGCTTTGTTCCAAAATAGTTTTCTCAATGGTAATCTACACAAAAATGCCAACAAGCAATCTATGGTTAGATTTCATAAAGGGAGCGTGCCACTCATATAGTCATACTACATTTATTTCTACAATTACAGTACAAGACAACCATGAGTTATTTCCCGGAGAGGGGTACTTTGAAATCTTATTTCCCAAAGTAGGGTAGTTTTAAACTTATTTCTCAAATAGGGGTAATTTTTCCCAGGCCATGTGATCACCCACCTTAGTTTCCATTTCCACATCACTGAACCGCCACATAACATTTCCATGTCATCACAAAGACTAAATATAATCCGTTTGAAGTAAGAAAAAAGTTGGGGCTGGGGAGATTCGAACCCACGCCCGGGCATATAGAATTCTATGTTCTAACCGCTGCACCACACACGCTGCTTGTCACGATCTGGGATTTACTTCTACTTATATTGATATTGTTGCATGCATGTTTAATTAAAACTAAAGTCTCCTCCATATTATTATTATTATTATTATTAGGGTTGGGGTGTGGGTTGGGGTTGGGGTTGGGGTTGGGGTTGGGGTTAGGGGTTAGGGTTAGGGGTTAGGGCTAGGGCTAGGGCTAGGGTTAGGGTTAGGGTTAGGGTTAGGGTTAGGGTTATTAGGGTTATTAGAGTTATTAGGGTTATTAGGGTTATTAGGGTTAAACGGCTATATAGCTTAAATAAATATGAGCGGACAAGTTAATAACCTAGATTATTGTTTTTTAAGTACGTAGCACTTTCAGTTCAAAAACAAAAAGTACGTAGCACTTTCATAGGTATTATGTGGCTGCGTAATTATAGTTAGCATACATAACCATTGGTTCTTATCCTTTTAAATAAGTTAGTTAGGCTAATTGTTTTATTTATACAAATATATGACAAAATTTAACAACACTTATTTAAGAGTTTTTTCCCGGAATAATGCTAATTAAATGAATAATTCCCAAAATACTGTTGGGTTAAGAATAATTCCGGAAATACTGCTGGGTTAACCATGGTTAAGCAAAGCCGCCACTCCAAGTGGCGGCTCTTCATCTATCTTCACAAAAGCCACCACTCGGACTGGCGGCTCTTCTATAGTATTACAAAAGCCGCCACTTCGAGTGGCGGTTCATTAATCCGTAGGCATATCCCCTTTCTTCCCAAGCGACGAACGAATCTGACCTCACTCTGCAGCAATCGACGAACGCCAACAGCACGAACAAAGTGCCCCGGTTCCGGCCAGATCTCGTCCAAACGAAGCTGAAATCAAAGGGAAAAGGCTCGTGGTTTAGCCGAGGTCGTTTGTACTCCGTTCTAGCGACTTTCTACCGTTTGAATAGAGGTAGTCCACCATTTTTGCTAAACCTAGGTTTTTTGATTGGTTGTTCGAAATTACTTGTTTTTTTAATTATTTTCTTTGTATTTGATGTTGTGAAATATATAAGTTCTTAATCTTGTTATTATGATTGAATTTATATAATTTGTAAAATTTGAATTATACCAACTTTCACCATTTTTGCTAAAGCTAGGTTTTTTTAGTTATTGCTCGAAATTGCTTGAAATTGTTATTGTTTTGTTCAAAATTGTTGTTGATTTGCTCGAAGTTGTTGTTGTTTACTTGTTTATTAACGGATTTTGCTTTTCTTTTACTAATTAACTAGTGCTAATTAATCATGTGTTAATTGTTGCTTTTTCATTACTCTATTTTTTTCACTGGTTAATTATTATGAGTCCTAATTTAATGGTATGAAATCGTAATATGTATCGACGATCTAATACTTTTCGTTTGAATTATAGTAATTGTAGTTGAATTTTCAAATAGCGGCATACGTCATACTTTTTTGGAATGATTTTTTCGTAGAATATGTCTAGAAACTTCTCCATTGTTTGTCAATGGGGAGGAAATATTATCGAGGAGTCAAACGGAATTCATTATGAAGGAGGGATTCGGAAGATAATTGATGTTTCCCATGGGGTGGATCTTGCTGAAATAATGAATAAAATTTATGCTGCCACATCCATTAATCGTATGAACAAGTTGGATTTGAAGGTTAAATATCCCATGCATGGTGGATCATACATGTTGATGCCTCTTGCTGACGATGAAGCCGTTACAGGAATGTGGACTGTAATCGAGAATCTTGATATGCATACCATGGAGATATATGTTGAAGAAGTGGCGGTGTTGCCCATACAACCTGGCCACACGTCATTATCTTGCTCATCCACAAGTGTTCCAGTTGTGATGAATATGGTTACACAGGAGAATGGAAGATTCGTGAATACTGAATAGTGATTCAACGTTTCTGGATTCACAGTGCAATGACGACGATGCAGATGAAAATGTGAACCATTCCTTCTATTTATTCTTTCCCAAAGAGGAATCTACTACTTGTTTGGCCCAGCCCGCTAATTCATTTTATTAAAATATTAAGCCCAAAAGTCCGTGTCTCTATCATAACATGATATATTACTAACATGAGGGTTCAAACAAAAGACACCACTGCTTCAAAAAAGTAAGATTTCCCACTTCCATCAAGCAAGGATCATGCAGATCAATCTCATTTATCTTTAACTTAAGCAAAAAAGAGCGGGAAAGATGGTATTCAAATACATACTTTGTATATAATAAGTTCATTTATAAAAGTTGCCCCCAAAATGTACAGTGCTAATATTCTGATTATGATAACAAAAACTGAGCAAATATAAACAATTAAAGTTGAAGACTTGTTAATTACTCACTAATCCCACTACCTTTGTCTCATCTTTCCTTTTCTGTCTGTGTGATTAATTCTTACTTTATCCATACTTTACAAATTATTAACAGCCACACAATTACACCATTCATAAAAATTGTGCAGCTTCCTCATGACTTAATTTTAGAGGGACGGGAGTAGTTTAAAATAATTAAATAGTTCCTCGATGTGAAAAATTATAATCCTCAAGTTTATTTTTTCAAAAAGAAGAAAATAATACACTGGAAGAAGGGTTTAGATACTCACTACATCTCCACTCCATCTAGCGGCCACATCTAGAGCTTCACCCAACATCCCACTGAACTTTGGACGCAGAACTGACAGCAAACCATGACCTCTTCGTTTCTGGAAATTAAGTTGAAGTTCTGCCTGAAATCAAGGAAGCTGAGTTGAGGTTATGCCTGAGATCAAGGATACTTTTTTACTCTGAAAACATAAGATACAGCAAAGGAACATATCAAATCAGGAATTATGCTGAATTCTTTGGCAATAATCAAAGGGTTTGGAAAGGAGATGAAGCAAAAAAATGTGAACAGCAACCCACATAGCTCCCCGCGTGAAAAGAAAAGTTCAATCTCAAACCACACTACAACACTTAAACTTATGCAAAAACAAGTCATGATATAGTTTTCCATAAATCAACAACAAAATTGAAGCTCAATGTCAAACCACTAAGGCCATTTGTCATATCTTAATCTTCCCATCTTTTTTGCAATGTAACATGTGATCATAAATCCCTAAACATTAATGTTTTTTGCGCATCATTTCATGTCATTTTATATCTGCCACTACTCATTTTCAAATCTTCAAACTGACAAATATGATCTTAACCGGCCTTTTTTATTAAGTCAAGATACAAAGTTCTAAAGAAGCCACTTGAAAAGTTCAACTGTTCCAGAGGCCATATTACTTCAGAAAAGTATTCTTACTGGTAGGCTCAATATTCTTCCAGAAGTACATGAAATAACTGTGTCCTCCAATAGGGACTAACTAAATTCGGATATCAAATTTGAGAATTCCTGGAAAGGTCTCTATGCTAATTACTTCTTTCAAACTGACCATGTTATCAACAACATAGAATCAAGAAACGTCATTAGTATAGCGGCTTTCCATCAAAAGAGCATAGAATCTTGATGGTCAGGTACATGTTTTAAATGGTCAGAATGAGGAATAAATTCCAGAAGGAGAGATAACCACAGTTCACAATTAGCAGAAAAACTGGGCATCTGCTTCTCCCGAATTGTCTTCTCCTTTTCTAGTATATCACCTATCTTCTTTCACATTTGGTTGGCAAGGAATAAAACTTCGCAGAATTCAGTTCATGTTAGGTACAAATACAAAACTTCACGCTACTAACTAAGTGTTGGAGGCGTCATGTCATGTGATGAATTGTTACAAGCTTGATGCGAATGGAAGAGAAAGAACGTGAATGGAGGCTAGAATCCTCTGTTCCCATAAAGGTTGAAAAATCAACTTGGTGTATCATGATCGCCAATGAGGCCATCTTCATTCAAAGGTAGGTTATCTCCCCAGTCCCCACAACTGGCTGGATACTAAAAGATGGGTCATACTAGACCGATTGGATTCCTGAAGTTCTCTGATTTTTGGGTGTTCAGCTATTGGATCACTCATGACACTGGCAATAAAACAAAAGTGGTGTGCTGAAGAACGTCACTGGCTTATTTGTGAATGGAAAGAAAATGTAAAAAGCTTAATGTTTGTATGAGATCCGTAATTCCGTACTTTCTAGGTTATGGTTTGCTTGAAAACTTCCTTACTTTTTACACTGACCTTGTATTTCTTGGGGAGTCAACTTATCCCTTATATAGAGTGTTTCAAAGACTCCAAAAAAGCAGATGATAACTACCAGTACCAGTGGACAAATGAAGATTATGAAAGGAAGGGGAAGAATGTGTATAAAGATTAGGATGTATAGAGATTCTGAACTCCCTAGGTTTGGTCTTGTTTGTAAACTGATTAACTGAGAGCCTAAAGCCCTTGGCTTTTCTGCTGAAATTGTTGTTCATACTCCCTACTCCCTAGGCAATCCATGAGGGATTACAATATCAGTAAATAATTACCAGTGAACTAACATATACTAATTGATATAATGTGTCACCCTGGATGCGATGGAGAGGGTGATGGACTTGGTCCAGTTCAAGTTGTATTCTCCGCTGTATAGGAAAACTATTTCTCATACTTCACATTTACTACTACTACTACTACTACTACTACTACTACTACTACTACTACTACTACTACTACTCTTTTCCTAAAAAAAATTGTATTAATGGAAAAGGAATCAAACTTTAGACACAGGTGCAAATGCGCAATGAGTTTATCAAATAGACCAGATATTTCTCAGTAAATGGCTATTACCCTTTGAATTGTTCCCCTCAATGAAGCAAGCTCAAGCTCATCCAAAGGCAAATTCCGTACCTCCAGATTAGCTGAATGTAGTGGTTGGTAGCACACATTGGTTTTTAGATGCCCTTTTTGGAGGGAAAGCGAGAACGACTTGCCAATAACATTTTCTTCTGAAAGAGGCTGAAAGGGTCCTATGATCTCCAGTGCAAGACTTTCGTCTGGTCTACCTATGGCATCCAACTGCAGCTTAGACAGAGAAAAGGGGTTGAGTGTAGGAGTGATCAGAAGTTATACTCCAGAGCAATTTAGCCCCTGAAGATCAAAGTTTGATTTTGCAAAACAGTTTTATTTTATTTCAAAAACATCACGCTTTCAGCAAAAACTTGAGACCATAAACCCGTTTGAGGAGCACGACAAATTACTTTATATCTCCATACTGTTGGATCGATTCTAGAATTTCACCCCCCACCCCAGGCAACACAATAGAACAAAAGAAAAGAACCAATGTGAACGTTTTACAAGTGGATGATAAAAAAATACCTACCTAGATTAATAACACGAGAGTTTTATGTGAGATTAGTGTGCTATGGACCAAAGATAGACAATGTGTATGAGACAAAGGACAAGAGGTTAAGGGCAAACCTTCAAAACCTCATTTGTCATGCTCAAGACTCCAGTTAACTGAGGTGCCAGCATTAATTGATTAAGTTTAAGACCTGAAATTGAAACATCGCCAGAAAGAATATGTGAACCATGGTCATCCTTATTTACATGTCCAGCACTCCTATTGGATAATTTCTCATCAGTAGCATTCCAACAGTTCACAACTTCTCCTCGAAACTTAACCCTTCCAGTTGCTTTCAAATGCACCAGCCTTGGAGAGTCAAAAGCATAAGAAGAGACTGAGCTGAAGAATTCAAAATTGCGCATTCGTAAATCTAATTCTAGTCCTTCCACAACAAAAGGCAGGGCAGTCTTCTCATCATTTTCCCTGGGATCTAACCAATATTTGTCTGGATAAGACGTTAATACTTTTGAATACAATTCAAAAGCTATCGACGAAGAGCTGACAGTAATACAATCATGAGAAAGTATGATATCTCCACGAGCATCAGTGAGTGATCCATCAGCTTTTGGTGCATTCCATTTGATATCAAACCTTCTACAAATACAGAGGTCCTTAAGTATCACAGAAAAATATAACTGGAACATGTGAACAGAAGCTGAGATTAGCCAACAGAGGGCACAAAGAGATCGTACGGTTTGAATAATGAGCCAGAAAGCTTTGTTTCCCCATTTAGAAGACCTAGCCGAAGACGTGTCACTTGAAGAAAACCAGGGACATAGCGATTCATGATATTATCAAAACTTAAACTTCCTGAAAAGTTTACATCAATTGCAGTATCATCGATTTCACCCTGCAATGATTAATGTTCTCAGTACCAAGACTGTAAACATAAACCGCTAAATTCCATGAACACTTCAAAATAGTTTTATGTTACCTAAATAATCACATAAAACGAAAAAGGCAAAGTGCGTCTACAAGATTCAATACAGAATCAATCAAAGCTTTACTTAATGTATTAGACAATAAGTAAAAACTGATTTTCACATGGCTCAACAACTTAGTACATGATAAACAATAGCTTATCAAACTAAGAGCTCTAAAGTTGGTCTTGAGCAGCCATGAGAAATGATAATAAATATGGCCATTCCAATTAATGTCATTTAATGCATCTTTAAGCCAATAAGTGCGCGCAAAAACCTCTGGGCAAATCCATGCATTCCCTGCGCCACGGATTTCACCCCCATCAACAAGGCTGCCTCTGATTCCATACAAGTCAGCAACCTACAAGTCCAAGATTTACCTACTATTGACATTTCTCAAGAGAAAGAGGAATAATAATGAATCCGGTCACTGAATTGTAGAATGGTCAATCACTTACACAGTTGTCAGTGTTAAAAGTAAAATTGGCTGAGATGTACGAAAAGGGAACACGATCCATTGCAGCAACAGCCCCAGCCTCTTTATTTTTAGCCACAGTCTCATATGCAATGGACACGGGAAGTTGGTTGGGCAAATATGTAACTTTTCTAGAAACTAATGCACTCCCTACGAAAATTGGTGCGTCCAAGGGACCTTGACAATTGAATACAGCTGTTACGGAACCAGCTATCTGAAGTAAACAAAAGAGGGGTTAACAACTTAACATCATGCAGAAACTAAAGCAACCCCAAATGCTGCTCTATGAATCAAATATAGCAATAAAATAACACTTCTCCAAGATTTTGTTTTGATGGGATGCATAAGACATGCATATGGTACATTCATAATATTAATAAGAGCTTAAATGACAGTGAGACCCAACACACAGTTGACTCCAACGAAATGCTCAAAAATCTCACTGGGGGGAGGGATTTTCCACCAAATAATATTTATGTAAACAGGATTTATAATTATGCATCTACCTCAGCTAAAGACTCACACCATTGAGCTCAAGTTCTAGTCATGGAAAAATATGCAAGGTGTTTATACAACAACATTACCCCAGTGCCATAAAGGCTCCCACCTACAGTGGTCTAAGGAGGGGGGGAGGGGGGGGAGGGGTCGGATGTACACAGCCTTACCCCTATACTAAAGCACAGAGAGACTGTTTCCGAGTGACCCGTGATGAAAATCGCGTCGCAAATTGCATGGACTTCATAATAAAGAAGCACAGACAGTTTAATGAGCCATTTTTATAAGTGAAGAATTGCAAGGTGTTTATACAAATGCACAAAATGTTCCAGGGTCAGATTATGAACACATGACCAAAATGCAAATAAGTGAGCAATTGTGGACAAGTGCAACTACATTCTTTCCTTTAGATAAATTTACGAGCTTCATATGTTGATATAGAACTAGTTTTTATTTTCTGCTTTCTGACTACTAAATATTGGGTTACGACAGCCAAAGGTGTGTACCTTCGTAGGGAAGTAATGTGCCAATAATGTTCAATGAAAAAAATTTCATTAGAAAATCTTTTAGTATAAAACAAGCTTAACTTTACAAAGTTTTGTAAAGGGAATAAACATGCACCACCCTCAATGTCGCAGAATAGTACTTTTCAGCTCAAAGCAAGACCTATTTCACTCGAATTTAGATATGGTCATATGGAGATAGATGCAACCAAGTGCGCAATGAAAAGGAAATATACCGGAAACAATAAAGGCTTCATTTTGAAAGTTTTCATCAATGCATTTACTTCGACATTAGGAACCTGAAAAAAGAACCAGAAACAGAAATAAAGAAGTGAGCACCAGGATAATAACCAGAACCAATCCGTACTTAGGTTTCATGTGGTCATATTGCAATGGATGCCCTGTCAGAGCTTTTTATAGTTTAACAGCTTGCGTGTTAAACTATACCTGACACATAAGGTGGAACTCTCCTTCCTCTGGGTCAATGCCAAAGTCTCCAGAAGCTTCTAAAGGAATATCTCCAAACCAACCATTGGTGTTGTGTAAAAATATTCGTTGAGCACGAAAGCATAAATTTGCAGATATGTCCTGAAATGGAAATGCAGAAAAGGATTGATCATTAGAATTGGTAACTTACTATCAAGTACATTCCATCCACTTCGCACAACATCAAAAACAAAAGTGAGAAGACTGGCAGCTAGAAGCAAGAAGTCCTAAAAAAGATTATTATTCATCATAAGATTAACAGATAAGACAAATGTAACTATCAGTTTCCATCAACAGTGCCATAGAATGAAAAAGTACAATGTGGTCAAACAGAGTATATCTGAAGTCCTAAAACACATTTAACCAAAATATCCACAGATATCACTAATGTAAATTTCAGTGCCCTCCGTCACACCCTAGAATTGCACTTAAGAACAATGTATGCAGACTGTATTCCAGTGTCTGATTGTCTATAAATTAATTAGAGATGTTTCTAGGCAATAACTTACTCTAAGAACTATCAAAAGATAAGTTTTGCTTAAAAACTACTCCCTCTGTCCCTTATAACTTTGCCATCTTTCCTTTTTGGGTGTCCCAAAAACTTTGTCACTTTAATTTTTAATCAATGAATTTGTTGTGGTTCGTATTATTTCTCTCTCCTCTGCACAAACCTCAACCACACATTTTTTACTTTATTATTTCTTGTGCCAGTCAAACTTGGCGAAGTTTTGAGGGACGGAGGAAGTTAAAATCAAGCAATAATTGCATTGCAGCAAATAAGCCATCAGCATGAAGTTTTTGATAACTAATGCAGATATAGGTTTAAATAGGACTCACTGAAAACCCTGATGGAGAATCATATATCTGAAATGCTAACTCAGATACATCAAGCTGCCCGTGTAGATTAGGAAAGTTCTCTCCTCTTGACATGCATATGTGAACCTGTCAAGAAATCCAGAATCCGATAAGGTAGTAAATTAGGCATGAGTCGCATGAACCGTGAATAAGGAATGGTCAGGCATACATATTTAGATATACAAATTGCAATGTACCACTGGATGACTAGAATTCTATCAGCCATAACACATCACTGTCAAAAAGGGAACTAGGTGTGACAATTGATCAACCAATATGTGAGTTAACAAACAAGTAAACATAGCTTGGTTAGAGATAATGATATTTACAACAATGTCCCCGGGAACACATGTGTTAAAGTATATCGTTACCATACTTGTATTCCTTGTGGCTATCAAGCCAGTCTAGAGATGCTATAGATTAGTGCACCTCTAGCTCACAAATAACTAATTAAATCAACATTGCAAATCTTACTGTCTAAGAGACTAAGACGTATCTATTTAAGGATGTTTAAAACCTTAATCCAATCAAACAATTTTAATCCAAAAATCTAGTTGTTTACATGGTATTAGAGCTTCTTATGTTACGCCTAGTTATTTAACCACGTAAACAGTGTTGTTACTTTTTATGAAACTCTAAATTTTGAGCTAGGTTCCGACCTTTCACCTTTGGCACGGTTATTGACAGAAGACAGCATGTGCTTTATTAAGTGACATGCTGTGTGAGCAGCATCAACCCTGTCAATGGAAAGGAGCATGTACATGAAGTGAAAAAGGCACAACTACTAAGACATGGTTAATGTTCTAGAACCCCAGTTTGTTGGGGTAAAAAGAAACAAGAGGACCAGAGGATTGGTGTAAGATACTCTGAGAAGCCAGGACTCCAGGAGTCTTACGAGTAGAGAAACATTTTCCACGAATTGTCACTTCATCAGAAAAGGATATGCTTGCCAAATTATGATTCTATTTTGAAACAAAAACTATGAAACATCTGAACCAGCCGCTTA